GAGAAAGGAGGAAGAAAAAAAAAAAAAACGGGGGGAGAAGAGGTAAAAAATACTAAAAAATGTAAGGGTAGGAAAAAGCAGCTTTCCATGTCAAATTTTTTGAAAGACCAGTGTACTTCCATGACCTAGAATTGACCCCAAGGAGCGATCAGGTTCTCAAGATACGGAATTCTTTTTTTTTTGTTTCCGTTTTTTTTTTTGTCCATTGAAAAATTTGTCGCTCGCACACATGTATCATAACCACTGGCGTGAGAGGATTGAAGACGACAAGGAAGAAGGGAGAGGGAAGGAGAAGATTGAACAGCGGGAAGATGTATAAAGAGGTAGTAGTTAGAGAACCAGACAGGTGGGGCGGGTAGAGGATTAAAAGATGGACTCGATCGAATCGATCAATCGATAGACGCTGGGAGGACAGAACGAAAATTCGGAACAAATAGGAAAGGGTACGTTTAGAACTAGAGAGGTGGAGCGGGAGGGCGAAGAAGAGATGGACAAAATTAACCAACGCAATCGATAGATCGATCGATCAGAAGGGGAAGAAAAAAAAACATCAAAACAAACGAAAGTACTCTGAGAACCGGGAGGTGCAGCGAGAGGAGACAGAAAATATGGACAAAATCAATCAAAGCAAATTAAAGCAATCAAATGAAACAAATCAACCAAATCAAAAAAATGAATCCAAGAGGTCAAATCAATCAATCAATCATTCAAAACCAATCAAAATCAATCAATCAATCAACCAACCAAACCATCGACTTGATCAATCAATCAATCAATCAATCGTGGTTTGTTTGCGTACACATCACTCAATCAATCTAAATCAAACAATCAATCAGTCCAAATCAGTCGCAATCAATCACCACAAACCATTCACCATCAATCAACCAATCACGCAAAACCAATCGCAATCAATCGACTAAATCAAATCAAAATAAATCAAAATCAATCAATCAATCATATCTGTTACAATCCATCAGGAAAAAAAATACAAAAAAATTAGTAAAAATGAATTAAAATCAATCATAATCAATCAGAATCGCAATCAATATCAATTAAAATCAATCATAACCAATTAAAATCGCTATTATGTTCAACAGACTGGGAACGGAAATTCCTCCACTTCCCAAAAAAAAAAAAAAAATCCTCCACCGAGAAACACCAGATCAGCAACGCAGTAACAAAAGTTTTTTTTTTTTTTTTTTTTTTTTTTTGCTGCTCCAGTGCTCCTAATAGATTACCATCGACTTTTGTCGTCTTGGGAGAAACTATCACGCACGCGCGGCTCGGAGGGCGGGAATTTTTTTTTTTGCCGCGAAAATTTCCAGTGCCACTTACTATTAACTACCGTCTTCCCCCCAAACATAACGCACCCTGAAAATGAACGTATACAAGGTATGTTTCCAGCCCGATTCAGTGAAAATGAGGGTGCGTTGTGTTCAGGGGAAGACGGTAGGCAACCGGAAATTCCACCCCGGGTAAGTAATCAGCGTCCGAGATCGTGGTTTCGTCTGCCTCTCTGCATCGACCAAAAAAAAAAAAAAAAAAAAAAAAAAAAAAAAAAACAATAAAAGAGAACTAACATGGAACAGAAAAGCGCGAAAGGCCAACACGTCCCCCGGTCAAAGGCCCGGTTTCTCAAGGATTTCCTAGAGATTTTTCAGGCGGCAAGGTGTTTTTTTAAAAAAAAAAAAAAAAAAAAAGGGCGACGGCCTTGAGATATCATCATTAAACGGACCGGCCCAAAGTAATTCAGAATGATTTTATTCTGGTGATCTGATTGTATCTGGATTCGAACTTGGGACTGTACTTCAACAGTTCATGGGTATACCAGCTGAGCTAGGCCCATTGGTAGCAAGGTGTTTTTGAACCACCAAGGGTCGGTTTTTTTTTTTTTTTTTTTTTTTTTTTTTTTTTTTTTTTTTTTTTTTTTTTTTTTTTTTTTTTTTTTTTTTTTTTTTTTCGGGTCGTCTTTTTCTCGAACATCAGCGTTGGGTGCCCGGACGCTGATGTTCCAAAAAATACGACCCTCCTTAAAAAAAAAAAAAAAAAACGACCCTTGGCGTTTTGAAAGGGCAACTAAGACGCTACTAACAGAGATTGCATAGATCGGTATATAGGTTAGTCGTAGTGCACGTATAAGTTGATCACAGCGGCATCACAAGACCCCTGAAGAAGCCGGTACGGCGACCGGCCGAAACATGTGGGGTCGCACGCCAATTCATAGCCATAGCTCTTCATCGTATTGTTTTCGCGTGGCTATCATTGTCGCGTCTGGGTATTAATGATATATCTTTTTTCATCTACGTGCGGCTCTACTTTCCCTCCCTTCTCTTTCTTCTTGTGTCTCGTCTCCCTCCCTTCTCTTTCGTTTTCTCCCTTGTGTCTCGTCGTAACGATGCATCGTGGACTTAACGAATGAGTGATGCTTTTTGCAATCTCAAAATGTCCCGGTCAAAGGGCCTCGACAAAATGGAAAAGATGTGAGTGCATCTTCCCGCAGAAAGTGGCAAGGTACATTCGGTACGATTGATAGTAACGGCCGAATATTTCCACCTTCCGTGGCAAGATGCACTCGAAGGTTTCTCGTTTCGGTGAGTGGTGTGGCAAGGCCGAGAGTTTGCATGGAACAGGATAAGTCTGCAGGGTAGAATGAACTTGCACGCCTGTCCGTCGCAGTACAGATCATGCATCTTTCCGTCCCACCGTCCAGGTTCACTCTGACAACGCCACTCGCGGCATCGCGAGCTTCTTCGATGGCCCAGTCACTGTGCCTCCCCTCAGGTGGTGGTCCCCTCCCCCTATGAACATCAGCAGTCTCTGCTCAATGCCACTCGGGGGGACCAACGGCATATCTCTACGTGGCGGCCGTCAAACTTGCCCAGGAAGGTAATTGAGGCCAATGGGGATTGGATTGAACCCAAGACCTCCTCCTGAATGCCACGTGCGTTACTTACCAACTGAGGTAGGCCGCTGGATTAGCGCGGCCATTTACAACTCTCCACATAGGTCGTTTTGTTTAAAAAAAAAAAAAAAAAAAAAAAAAAGAAGAAGGAGAAAAAAAAGCCATTTTGTGCTACAATTTCTAATTTAAAAAAAGTTGACTACAACACCCGGGCCTGCATTCACACACTAGCAAACACGGCGCGAATCGGCTGTTGTAACTACCGTCTTCCCCCGAGCACAACGCACCCTCATTAAGGCTGCACCGGACTGGAAAGACGGCCTTTATACATTCCTTACCAGGACTGGAAAGACAGCCTTTATACATTCCTTACCAGGCAGCGATATGCTCGAGGGAAAAAGGTACTAGGACTAGTCTTCTTGAAAGGGTAATACGCCAACTACACGGCCTCGCTCCTCTACTCACGACATATGCAAAATAAATGAATCTCCCCCTAGAACATGGGTAAATAAACTGCCATATGTTTGTAATATTTTGTGCATGACATTGTGGTGAAGAGGTGGAGCGAGGCCCATAGTATATATCCTGACCGTCATGGGGACAGTTCGGTACTTCACTGCTGAACAGGAAAGCAAATGACCAAAACATCCTATCTCCAGAGGCAGCGAGCGGAGCAAGACAGTCATCACAAACACACACACACACACACACACACACACACACACACACACACACACACACACACAGAGAAAGAGGGGCAGGGGGGGAGGGGAAGAGAGGCAGGGTTGTAGGCAGAACAAACAAAATCGAATACCTTCTCAGCAAAGGCCAAGACATTTTCTACTGCCGGACGGAAGAACTCCGCAATTTCCGCAACAGGTACAACCTTGCGAATCCCGACCGTGTATTGTCGTTCGATGTTCACGATCTCCACTTCATACTTGTTTTCCACAGTCACGGCGCCTGCAGCCTCAGTGCTCTTACACTCGTCGCTACCCACAGCTTCCGCAGCGCACGTATCATCACCTCCGCTCAGATCCGCCACAGCTCCCTCGCTCGCCATCTCTCTCTCTCTCTCTCTCTCTCTCTCTCTCTCTCTCTCTCTCTCTCTCTCTCTCTCTCTCTCTTTGCTGTCTCTTATACACATCTAGATGTGTATAAGAGACAGGTGGTAGATTAGAAGTGATGGATGACGAGATGCAAACACATTTGATGGCTAATCGCCGGTTTCAGAGAACTCAGCTCCTTCCTTCTCCGTCGACCTGCTGCAAAAAAAGTTTGACTTCTACGAGTTGCCTGCCTTTCCAACGAACTTCTTCACACGGAAATCGCAAATATGATGCTTCTCTCTCTCTCTCTCTCTCTCTCTCTCTCTCTCTCTCTCTCTCTCTCTCTCTCTCTGTGTGTGTGTGTGTGTGTGTGTGTGTGTGTGTGTGTGTGACTAGCCGGATCCTCGCGCCTTTCGGTAAAATACGCAAGACGAACGATCAGGATCAAATTTCGGATTTCTTCCCTATTGCCACTCAAGATACACAAGCACAAAACCGCAAAAATAGCGGCAACCCAAAAGCCTTGCCCAGGTGATAATCTTCCGTCTTCTAGCATACCGTTTTATTTTATTCGCTGCAGCGTACTTTATAACCGATGCACTGTAGCAAAAGGAGGACCAGTACTAGCGCCATTCGGTTTGGAGCTGCGTCTCTGGATCTCCGGTTCTCGCTCCACTACTATCGAAATGTGCAGAAGGAGAGTGAATCTTCCGCTAGAACACACCACCATGATTTTTGTCATTTTTGTGCTTGGCGAGAGTAGTGGAGCGACGCCCCTCTCTCATGTGCAAGAAGAAAAATTTTGCGCATTTGCGCATTTCATCCCGCGTTTTCCTGTCGACGTCATATATGATTCTCATGCCTTTTCCTGTCGACGTCATATATGATTCCTCGACATCGTCTACACCTGGGCGTGATTGCGGTCAGATACATCCAGAATAGTCCTACCCTGAAATGAGCTGAGTTTCTTGTTCCAAAAAAAAAAAACAAAAAAAAAAACAAGGGTCCTACCGAACTGACAGCATGCTCTTCTCCTCGCCGCCAAAATTAATAAGCAAGCTTCCGCGACTCCCGTTACCACCGATCCTTTCCTTCGTCCCACAAACATTGAACCTGGGCACAAATGACAAAAACCATGGCGGTGTACCTTTCCATGTTCTAGCAGAAGATTCACTCTCATTTTGCACCTTTGTGAGAGGAGGGGAGCGACGCCCCTTCTGCCTGACTGATCAGCGCGGACCTGCTAATCGTGCGCGCGCCATCTGCAGAACTGATGGCCAGACAGACTGGCAAACCGCGCGCCCTGCCCTGTCCGCCAGGACTTGAAAGGCTGCGCTTCACACCAGGACTTCTTCTTACTTATGTGGACGTAATTGCGTCCAGGAGCACCCAGGTGGGGTCGGAAAAGCAGACATATACATCCTGGACTGGAAAGTCCTCGTGTGTCTATGCCCGTAGGCAGGCAACCGAACACGACACCCTTGGGGCACACAACCCGCACCCTTTTGGCTGACATGTCGGAGCGACTCCGCCAGCACATCCTGGGCGGGGAGAGCTCTTTTTTTTCTTTTCTTTTTTTTATTGTGGATCTGTTTGTGGGGAGCGACACAAGCTGGGAGTCCCGAAAAAAAAAAAAAAAAACACAAGCTGGGAGCGCTCTGTTGTTTTCTTGTCTTGTGTTTTCCTAAAAAGGCACGCCTCCTTTCTCCTTGCACAGGTCTTGTCCAAATAAAAAGGGAAAATGTCGTACCGTAGATGATGCCAGATTGAACAGGAGAGTCTTGGAGTTGGGGGCCGCAGGCCCACACACCGCGGGAAAATAGAGGGTGGGCAGGACTGCTTCACCAAAATTGGCGAAGGAGAAATGACTCTCCTCAGACCGGCTGACAAAGTGACTTGAGTGGTCTGCAGGTTTGCTTACGCGCTGAGTGCTGCTGGAGGGCGTGCGAGCGAGGGAGGATCCAGAGAGATCCAGCAGATCCGGCAGGTCCAGCAACCTGCCTCGACTGCTGCGCTGCCGGTGACTTATACTGTCGCGGGCAGTGGGAGCAGTGCCCTCCGGGCCGGCGACGTCCAAATGCATCCCGGGTGAGTTCCACGAACCTGGTCCTATTTCAGACCCGACTGAATGTCCTTCGTCCCGCTGGTGGTCCCAAGCCGGAGTCCAATGCCCTGTAACTGTAGGAGGTCAGTGCCGTGGTCCAACCGCTGAAAATTGTGGTCTTCTAAGGAACGCGCGTCGTAGATGTCCTGAATCCAAGGCCGAGAGTGTCGGTCGTAGGCGAGCCAATGGTGTCAATGGAATGCAAGTCGTTAATGCCCAAAATCCAGGGCAGCGAAGAAATGACGAAGACCGAGGGAACGGTTGACGTGTCTAAACTGTGGGCAACCGTTGGATGCAGTGAAGGTGACCTAAGGTAAGTGTAGGAATAAAAAAGGCCGTAGGACAGTTTCTGTCTTCTTCTTCGACGAAGAATCGCGTGTTTCGACAGTTGCTGTCTTCTTCTTCGGCTCCGGCAATGGCAACAAAAACGGCGATCTATTCACAAAGTGCAATGCAATTCGTGTTTGCCAAAGAAGTAGTCTCGGTGCACATGAATGAGAAAATAAAATGGGTCAACGCACGCTTAAGGACTATTAAGATGTCGGAAAGGATGTGGGAGACCACTTCTTGGTGGAAACGGCGGGACCATCCATGGTTACTGTCATCTCCCTGTACAAACAAGACAGAACAAAACTCTTGGCCCTCAAAAATCAGACGTTCAGGGCAACAAGGGTGAAGGTCGAGCCGTGGTCCCCCCCCTCCCCGTTGACAGCTGACGATCGGAGGGAACTAGTGACTTCCTCCATAGGGCCAGGAGATTTACGAGCATGCCGGGTGCGGAGGGAGCGTACCTGCTTGCGTTAAAAATAGAGCTAAGATTGAGAGGTTTTTCGGATGATTATTTCGATAAAGCCCTGTGCTGCTTCTCCTCTAAGTTTGGAGGAATTTGGGATGACTGGGTGGGTTGTTTTACCAATTGGAATTACTAGTAGGTGATTTCTTGAACGCGGTATGAAAGCGGGGCAATTTGTGACCTGGGTGGAGCCTGTGTACTTTTTGGATAATGGGGGCACCCTATGTGTGCTCGGCAGTATGCTCAGTTTTTCTGATGAAATGGTTTGAACCTATTCCGTGGTGGGCCATTTTTCGGTCAATGGTGGGCCCCTCCCGGTCTGGGTTTGAGCCTGCGTAGTGTCTTTCTGAAATTGGGTCTGTCGGGACCACTCGTGAATTTGCGTATTTTCTTGGCTGTTTGTGCCTAGGAAGTGCCTGTCCTCTGGGTTTCCTGTTGGCCTACCTTTGTCCTTCTGCGGCGGATTTTTTTCGGTAGGCTTCTTCTAAGTAGTTCTAGAACCTGGATTCCTCGAGTAGTCCCTATAAAGTAGTACACGGCGTAATGATTGTTCCCTCCGCCGTGACGATTCTAGACCCCTGACGATTCCGGCTCTGGCGGCCGGATGAAACATGTAGGGTCAGCCGCCAGCACCTTCGCAAGTTCTAAGTTGGCTATGGGCACGTTGCCTACTTTCGGTTCGAGCTTCAGGCTTGTTGTTTTTCACGCTGATAATTTTWACTTGCCTGGTCGCGTCCCTCCGCCGTGACGATTCTGGACCCCTGACGATTCCGGCTCTGGCGGCCGGATGAAACATGTAGGGTCAGCCGCAGCTCGGCAAGTTCTAAGTTGACTATGGGCACGTTGCCTACTTTCGGTTCGAGCTTCAGGCTTGTTGTTTTTCACGCTGATAATTTTTACTTGCCTGGTCGCGTCCCTCCGCCGTGACGATTCTGGACCCCTGACGATTCCGGCTCTGGCGGCCGGCTGAAACATGTAGGGTCAGCCGCAGCTCGGCAAGTTCTAAGTTGACTATGGGCACGTTGCCTACTTTCGGTTCGAGCTTCAGGCTTGTTGTTTTTCACGCTGATAATTTTTACTTGCCTGGTCGCGTTCGGGAGAATACTTGCGCCGTGTGTTGCTGAGTCTAGTCTGTTTACTGTGTCCGTGTCATTGTGCCTCGTCTGTGGTTTGGTCTTCTTGCTTCGTGTCCTCGTCATCTCTTCTTTTACCTTGGGATTTATGCTGAATATCATTGTCAAATTGATGTGTGTAATCATACACAACCAACGACCCCAGCGCAGTTGGTACAGTTGGTACACCCCCGAACTGTGATGAAGTTCAAAAACACACACACACAAAAAAAAAAAAAAACATGGCACCGCCGAAATGTGCAAAATGAGAATGAACTTCCCCGCTAGAACATGGCCAGATGCACCTGCCAAATTTTTTACTTTTTCACATTTCGGGAGTGGTGTGGCGAGGCCCTAGAAACCCAGGTTCGAATCCAGTCCAGTTGCACAGAGATGAACAGAGTAAAATAATTCTGAAGTACCGCGGCCAATCAGGGGGCGTACTATTCTTTCGCCTTTTACTAAAGACTACGGTGGGCTGAGCACACGTAAGCAGCTTAAGTGAAATTTTCACAGGTCTTCCAGACTAGTATGGAGGCCACAAAAAAAAAAAAAAAAAAAAAAAAAAAAAGATGATATCTCAAGGCTCTCTCCCTTTGAAAAAAAGCGAGGAGGAAGCCCGGGGGGGAAATAGACGCATTCCCACCTTACGCGAACCAGCCCAGCAAAAAAGGAAATGCAAACACGAGTTTGAAACGCCAGCATGAATTCGAACGCAAACATGAATTGGTACACCCATGATATTTTTTTAAATGCAGACATGAGTTCAAATCCTGGGTCGACCTTAGCTAAATGGAATGAATGAAATAATTTGGAATTACCTGGGGCTGGTCAAACCACCATGTCGCGCCACAGGCAAAACAAATAGCTGGGCGAATTTATTTAATGTATTACGCGCAACTGGCTGGGCCACCGGACCAAAACGGCTGCACCGCCAGCCGAAAACGAAAAAATTGCGCGCTCTTGCGGGTTCACCGGACCAAAACGGAAACGAAAAAATGCGCGCGATCTGGCTGGGCCACCGGACCAAAACGGCTGCCAGCCGAAAACGAAAAAATCTCGTGCTCTTGCGGGTCCACACCGGACCAAAACGGAAACGAAAAATTGTGCGCAATCTGGCGGCTGCACCGCTAGCCGAAAACGAGAAAATCTCGCGCTCTTGCGGGTCCACCAGACCAAAACGGCTGCTCAGTTGTTCTTTTGGCGGGCAGAACGCTTTGGTTCGGTCGGAAAACACAGGGCATAGCCACACCACGCGCGAAATGTGCGAAATGAGAATGAACTTCCCTTGAGAACATGGCCAGATACACCAGCCACATTTTTGTCTTTTTCACATCTGGACAGTGGTGTGGTGAGGCCCACAGACTGTGGGTGTGGTGTCGGT